AGGGTGCAGCATGCTCTGGTCTATAACGCCGAGGGGTGCGAGGGTCTCGGGATCGTGCGTCTTTATGACCGAGTGGTCGGTGAAGGAGACGAGGTTGCCCGCCTTCGACGAAATGCCAGGTACATTGGCATGTATCGTGACACCGACATTCGCGCGCGACACGTCTCTTAAGGTCGTCGGCTCAAAGGTGGATTTCATCTTCCTGAAGAGCGAATCACATGGATCCCGCTTTTTTTTTTTTGGAAACACGCGACGGTCAGCGCCCAACATTTCCGCGCAATTTCCACAGATGACTGCACCTTCTGTCCGAACGTTACGCCTTCGAGCCTACCAGTTTTGCGAACCTGCTCAATGAGCCCGTCGACCTGCCGGCGAGAGCTATAGTTGACTTTGCAGTCGCCGGCTGGGGTGGCGGCGAGCTCGAAGCGGTAAAGGTGCGAGAAGCCATCGAACCAGTGGCTGCAAGCGAATTCACCAGTTTCGGTGGTCAGCTTGTGATTCCCCGGACCGTTTCGCAAGAGGATTCCGGCCGCATAGGCGGGGATGGTGCCTGTGATTGGGAGTGGGACGGGGGTACGTTGTTCAGTTTCTGCGTTGAACTATGTGGGCTTAGAATTGCAGGTAGTAAATCTATAAGTAGGAGCCTTACTCCTGCATCGTTGGGCCAATCTTTGTAATGAATTCCAGAGGACATTTTGTAGCGGGGAGGAGTAAGATAATGGTTACACCATTCCAGGTTCAAGTTTGTGCCCTTTTAATAGATTTTGAACACGAGGAACCGGTATCGCAGCAGATCGCAGCAATTTGAATCGCATTCCAGAGAACGACGGATACCGCCGGCTACCGACGGAAGCCGACGGAGGAGCCACTTTAGGACATTTTGACTCCCACAAATATACAATCGCGCAGTACTATACAAACTTGGAGAGCATCCAGCCCGCTGGGATCAATTCTCCAGAGACAAATCTGATGCAGTGATTGAACCGCGTAAAATTCTCCAGAGACAAAATTGACGCAGTGATGAAGCCGCTTAGAATTCTCCAGAGACAAAAGTGATGCAAGCGGCGGCGGGCCAGAGACAAATTTGATGGCCATAGACAAGCTATTCAAGTAGGCTACTCTGTCTCGGAGAGTCTAAACCGGTCCGTGCGTCCCTAGAATGTGTAGTAGAGCTCCTCAAGTTACTTAAACGTCTGTTAAAGAACAACTTGAACATTATCCCTGCCTGCGGCGGCGCGGTCTGATGGCACGTAATTTTGACTATGGCTCGGTAGCCAGCCCACCGCCATACAGCTTGAAAGAGCGGTACATGAATATTCCTCAGACCTCAGCCTGTGGAATTATGGTTTCAGTGCACAAATTATCCCGATATTGCAAAAATAGAATAGCATTCTGACTACCCAGAATCTGCCGGAATCCAGAGACAGATGGGTTATTGATGCCCAAGTCCGAACGTCTCTGGAGAATATTTTGATCATCATTTTTCTCTGGTTTTGTCTCAGAGAGTCTCTCCCCCAGCGGGCTGGAACTCCTGCAAACTTGATACAAGCAGTATGCCGCAGTCACATGCGTACAGCTATGTTCTATTTTCGGCCACGCTAACACATCACCTGCTGAGCGCTGAGCGCTGATCCTGGGCTGCTTTATAGGCTGCTTTGCCGCAGTTCAATACAAAAGACTTGAATACAAGACCAGAATAATCAACAGTGCCGCAGTTCAACGTTCAATACGGTCAGGGCTTTCCGCGGCCACGTCTTCTTGCGTGGCTTGCCGCGATCTTGCATTCTTTCAATGGGATCCCTTTAGCTCATCTGCCCGCTCCAATGTCCCATCCAAATATTCCCTGGCACTCAAGCTATTTCTGTATTCATTTGCTTTGCATTTGCGCAAAGGCCTGCTCTTCAAATGCACAAGATCGCCGTCCACCTACTCACGCTCTATCTCTGCAGTACATCTCATACGGGAGTCAAGTGAGTCACGGTGACGGTCTAGGGATCCCCACCGTACCGTATACGGTTACGGCCCGTAAAAACTCGAGCTTTCGGCTCCTACGGGACGGGTTGGCAGCCCATATAGAACCGTATATGGGTGCTCAGAGATCGAATTCAGAGAATAAAAAAATCAATAGACGATGAGATTTTTAGCCCAAAGCGGAGCATGTCCTTTGGTACCCGGCGAGTCGGTGTTCGGAGGAAGAAGAGGAGGAGGACAGCATGCGGGCACGTAAATCATGTTGCCGATTCGGACGCGTCGACGCGTTGTTTTGACTTGTTTGTCGGACCCGCGCCTTTCTCGCCTTTCACCACAGCAGCCCTCCAACAAGCTCCATGGATCCAACAACAGCCACCACCTCGACACTTATCTCAACAACAATGTCTAGTCGCAAAAAAGGCGGCAAGGTGTTTGCTCCCTTTGTTCTCGCCGCTAAAATGCCACCGTCTGACCGCGGGGCCTCGGCAAGGGCGGCGCCAAACGCCACCGCAGGATTCTGCGCAGGACTATTCCTATGACCTCGATGACCTTGATGGTTTGAACTATTCGGCCTTCTAGGTGCAGTGTCGGTTCCTCCGGTTTTCCCTCAAAGGTCTTTATGCTGTGCATCTCAAACGCCGGGTTGCAGTCCCAAACTATTGCTTGACCATACATTGAGGATTTTTTGCTCTGTTCGTTGTTACTTTCCCTTCTGCTTTCACTTCTATCTCCACCTCTGCCTCCGCGCCCTGCTTCTCCAGCTCCACCCTCGCCAGATCACGTCATAAGTATTGACCCAAGAATCACGGCAGCCATGACTTGAGTGGTGGAAAGCCCGGTCGCTTAGAAGAAAAATGCGCAGTAGATCGATTGGTATATACCAGCCTACGTTTGGTATTTTTACGTGCCTATCCAACATATTTTCGAGTCCCCCTCGTCCTCCCGCCCGTCTATACAAGCAAGGATTTACCGACTCTGGATTAAAAAATACTCCAGCCGATGGCTCGCGTCGTGGCGCGTTTCGACGCGGCGTGCGTCTCGGAGGCGGATATATGTCGACAGCCCGTTAACCCTTCCCGCCACGACACACCTAGCCTTTCTAGCCCCGACACAAAAAGCTAGCCCTTCCAGCCACGACACAAAAAGTACCCCTCCTTCGACTCGGTGCGGCTGGACTTTGGCTTGAGGAACATGACGTTGTTGAAGGCGGGCTCCAGGTGCGTCTTGCGGAACATGTGCAGGAGCGGGTGCGCGAAGTGTTTGAGCCTGGAAGGAATCTCAACAAGCCGCAAAAAAAGAAAAATCCGGAGCTCACAACAGCACCCCGCCCGTGTCCCTTTTGATACTCTCCGCGGAGCGCAAGTTGCGTTTGCTAAACTCGAACACGGAGGTGCAGATCTCCAGACTCGACTCAATGTCGTGGAAGGCGTTCCCGGTCGCGTTGGCGGCCATGTCGCAGAGGATGACGTCCGCCCTGCCGTCGGGGGCCCCCTGGTGTGCCATGAGCGCGCGGACTTGCACCTCCGTGGCAGGCGCGAGGAAGTCGGCCTGGACGAACTGCACGCCAGAGAGCGGCGTCATGCGCAGGAGGTCCACGCCGACGACCGTGCCGCGGCCCGTGTGCTGTGTCTCCAAATGCGAGATGTCCAGCGGGTCCGGGGTGCTCCAGCCGGCACCCGCCGCCGGGGGGGCTGGCTCGGGCCTGTTGCGCAGGCTGCCAACGCGCGGCGGGGGTCGGTCCCAGCCGAGCTTCTGGGCGGCGACCTGGCTCCAGCCGCCCGGCGCGCAGCCGAGGTCCAGCACGACGTGCACGTCGGGGCGGTCGAGGAAGCGCCACTTGTCCTCCATCTCAAGCAGCTTGAAGGCTGAGCGGGAGCGGTACGATATGGCGGTTTCGGAGGTTATGTCGGAGGAGGCGCGCAGACGGACGTAGGGGTCGCGCGACTGCCTAGAAAGCCAGGCGGCGGACGAGGGCTTCTGTGCGCAAGCCAAGAGTGTGGGGCGCAGGGCCATGGCCGTCGTTTGGAGACGAGCCGCCCACGTCGGAATAGGATCCTGGAATTCGAAGCCTGCAGGTCAGCCAGCAGCAGCTAGATTCAGGTTTGCGGCGCATACCGAGAAAGAGGAAGATTTGTGTTGTTGACAGCTATTACCCGGTTTGTTTACGCGTCTGTTTGTTTACGCTCTCTCTCTCTTCGACCACCACCACCCCACCTCAAGACCCTCAACCAACAATGTCTGGCCGCGGAAAAGGTGGAAAGGTGATGCTAGGTTACTACCCACTCCGTTCTTGTTGCTAATGCCACCCTTCTGACCGCCAGGGACTCGGCAAGGGCGGCGCCAAGCGTCACCGCAAGATTCTCCGCGACAACATCCAGGGTGCGCTCCCATCCTCTCTCTGACGGTTCACCCAGCTAATGTTCTGCAGGTATCACCAAGCCCGCAATCCGCCGTCTCGCGCGCCGTGGCGGCGTGAAGCGCATCTCCGGCCTCATCTACGAGGAGACCCGCGGCGTGCTCAAGATCTTCCTCGAGAACGTCATCCGCGACTCCGTCACCTACACCGAGCACGCTAAGCGGTGCGTCGGCGTTCTCTGCCTTCCTCTTTTACCTCGACTGACATTCAATGATAGCAAAACCGTCACCGCCCTCGATGTCGTGTACGCCCTCAAGCGCTCCGGCCGCACGCTCTACGGCTTCGGAGCCTAAGCTCGCCGTGTGAGTCATGTCGTATAGCACGCGCACGGGGGTCGTTTTCTCATTCGAATATTCTGTCTCCAGACCGTTTCATCCGCACTCTCGATTCACCTTCTTTATTTCCCTCATGTTGTACTCTCTTGTATACGCTCCATGCCCTAAAGACGTACGATGTACCGTATGATGAATATTGTTACACACGCCAAGCACTTTTGCGCTCGCCTTTACTATTCAGAGATTGATTGGGACTGCAGCAAAACAAAGTCTCACTGAAAACATGCGACAAATTGCAAGTCTCACTGAGGACATGGCAACAAATTGCAAAACAAAAATGCCTGCTACCCGAATCGAACGAGTGATCGCCGCATTCTTTGATTACAATAATCCGTACAAGTGCGGCGCCGTAACCACTTAGCCAAGCAGGCGATGCACCGAACCCGCCGAATCAGGGTGTGAGGTGGGGTGAATTTTGTTGGTAGCAGCCGAGTCACGCGGCGAACAAAATTTCCTGGATTTTGGCGGGTTGGTTGGCGTAAAAGCGGAAAAATGCCAGCGTTTGAACTCCCCCCGCCAGGATGGGTCAGTGCGGGGAGAGTTGCTCTCGACTACAGTCCGAATGTCCTGGATGTGGCGGGGTTGGTTGAGGTGAAAGGGGAAAAATGTCAATATTTGAACTCTCCCGCCAGGATCAGTCAGTGTATATACTTGGGTGAACGATTATCTTCATCCCGTCATATAAAGGTGTTTACGAGACTACAGTCAGTGCGGGGAGAGTTACTGTCCGCACCCATGGGAGAAAATTTTGGAGGCGTGCGAAGCCGGAGGCTGAATGGTGTGTACAAAAAGGTTACAAGAGATATTACACAAGTTGAACAAGTACAAGAACCTAGAATCTAATGTTTGGTGGAAAGTTGATGAAAAAGTCGTCGAGCCACGCTGCAAGTACAACCCCCTATGTAGGGTTTCTGTGGTTTCCAATATCACTTAGTGCCATTAGGTATGCTAAAGTCATTCTGCCATAATTTCTGCTCTTTGTAGCTCAAGTAAGTTTTGGGCTTAGTAAACGAGGGGAGTTAAAATACTGAATGTGTGAGGAGAGACTAGTTTAGGACTGCAACCTGGCGTTTGAGATGCACACCATAAAGACCTTTCAGAGGTAAGAAACACGGAAAACCGGAGGAAGAGAAGCCGACGCTGCACCTAGAAGTTCAAACCACCGAGGTCACTGGCATCGAAATCATAGGAATGGGCATCGAGGTCATAGGAATAGTCCTGATCCGGCTCATGTATCCATTCTATCCCTAGCCCATGGCATAGCCGGGCAATCTCAGCCACCTGCGCGTCGGATGCCTTCGGCCCACGTTTCGTATTATCGGCCCGCAAATCACCGACGAACTCGAGCTTTTTGAGTATCCCACGCAGGGGGAAGCGCTCTCGGCGGAGCCACGCCGCAATCGTAGGGGCGGGAAGGAACTTCACGGCCGTGCTGGCGAAACGAAGGTGCTCGAGCCGGGGGGGCAGCATGTCGAAGAGCGGCGCGGTGACGGGCACGCCGTTGAACGAGAGCGTCTTGAGTTGCTGCAGCGCTGAAACCGTGTTGTTCTCCCATGGCTGTGGGTGCTGTTCGCTGGAATGGTAGTCGGTGAGAGCGAGGAGCGTCAACGTGGATGCGACGTTGGCGAGGCATTTCTTGAGCGCTCCACGCGGCATGGGCCGCAGTCCGTCGAGCACCAGCTCCTTGAGCGACAGCATGCTCTTCAACAACGTCGAGAGGCTGTCTGGCGACACGATTTTGTTCATACAGGATATGCTGAGGCCAGAGCACGAAGATGAGGCGCGCGGAAGCCCGAAGGTGGGGTCGCCGGGACCGTCCATCCCATACTGGTTGATATCCAGCTCTTTTAGGCCAGGCAACGCGATAATGTGCTTTAGCCAGCCACGGGGCATATGCTTGCTGCAGTCACCACGGCAGTGGTTGCATTCGTGCAATTCTATATCCGTTAACCTTCCCGCCGCGACGCTTTTGGTGATGTCTCGGGATGAAAGCGCAAACAGGAAATCTCCGCCCCAAAGCTCGAGTTTTGAGAGCTGCGGGCATGCATTGAGGAACCATCGGAACGCGGTAATGCTGACAGTCCGAGGTTCTCCGTCACCAGGGGTGCCCGCTTGGTACCCGTCGATGTGGGTGCGCTCCGAGCAGGCTGAGCTGAGCGAAGCTCTCTTGACGAGCCTCGCAAGGTGCGGCGAGAAGCGGAGCTGGCCCGTAAGCAGAAGAAATCGCTCGGGCCCCTCGATTTTCAAGTCCGCATAGAGATTGCGGCGAACAGGGTTGACAAAGTTGCGCGACACGAGAGCCAGCTTGGTGAAGTTCTATGGTCCGGGTGAGGGCTTTGAGGCGAAAAGGACTACCACAACAACCTTGGGAAGGGAATCGTAGTCGTATACTCCCTCTTCATCCGTTTTATCCAAAAAAACCTTTCAATGCAAAAATCAGGAAGCGTCCTGAGCGTGGAGAGTGTTGAGACCTCGTCGACGATGTTCCCGATAATGTCCTCGAAGTCAATTCTGGCAAAGGGCATCTTGGCTAGAAGAGCGAGGGATAGGAGTAAAGGGATCAATTTCAAACTCCGCACGATCAATTTCGCTCAATTACAGCAAGAGCCTGCTATGATATCTTCTGGACCCAACGTGCAAGCTCAACCCCACGAAAAGAATCGATGGCCGTGTTATTTAATTATTTAAACTACTTGTGTTCGTTATGTACATACACCCGTTATCGACACAAAAAATACTGCGCATCAAGCGACAGCAGGATACAATAATAATAATAATAATAAGACTATTTCGTCAGAGCAGCAAGATTCAGCGCGCCGAGGACGACCTCGTAGGCGAGCTCCACAGTGTCCCACAGGGCGGCGTCGGTGATGCCGAGCGCGACCATGTCCTGCCAGAGCTCCGTGACGTGCGCGGTGTGCGTCAGCAGGACCTGCACGTCGGCGGACGAGGCTGCGCAGAGGTGCATGGAGAGGTTGTGGAGGTCCGCGCGGGAGTGCAGCGCGGCACGGACGGTTTTGGGCGTGAGGGCGCGCAGGAAGGGTGGGGGGATGGGGAAGAGCGCGGCGAGGACGGTGTCAAGACGGTGCGTGTACATGAAGGCGTGCAGGATGGAGAAGGCGGGGGCGGAGGGGAGGGAGAGGGGAAGGACGGGGAGGTGCACGGACCCGGCGGCGCGCGGCGCGGGCGGGGGGAGCTGCGGGAGCTTGGAGCAGTGCGCGGCGAGCACGAGGGCGTGGATGGGGAAGATGAGGTGGATGTCGGAGGCGGATGGGGAAGCGTTTGATATGGCGAGGGCGTGGGTGGGATAGGATGGTTGGACAGAGGCCTGCAGCGGACGGAGGGGCACCGCCAGGTATGGCGGGATATTCGATTTGGGCAGCGCGGTGGGGAGGTAAGATGGAGAGAGGGCTGAAGTGCCGGCTAACATTCTATGATAAAGAACGATTAGGCACCGTCTACGTCTGACCATACAGAGAAACTCACTGAGGGGCGGCTGAGAGTAGATGTTTCCGGACAGATTCAACAGAAAGATGGCCAATATCCGGAGAGGCAGCAATAAGGGCGGCGCGCGATACCTCTTTGAAAGAGGGCCGAACGAGGGTTCGAGGGAGCTGGAGGTTCGAAGAAGAACGGGATGATTGGCGTTGCATATCAAATACGGAGGGAGTGCAAAGAGCGTAATGGAATGAGTCCGGATGAAGAGCCGCGGGAGGCCTCGGGAGTGCGACTGGAGGTTGTTGCTACAAGCCGAAAAACTCGACGGAGATTTATAGCGCTGTGGTACAATAACCCAATGCACATTGTTGATGCCTTTTGTGGACCCAGTTTTCAGAGCGATCCGCATTCAGCTTCCTGGTGTCTGCTGGTTGCGGAAGTATAATAGCGGAGCGAACAGCCTGTTGCAGCATTTTGATGCCAACAAGCGCCGCGTCGGTTTAATTGTACATTCCAGGACAGTTCCCATTTGGATCAAACTCCAGCCAATTGTTTACAGGAGGTCGCGAGACACAGAGAAGCATCCTTGCGTCGTGAACAACCAATGCATAGGGACCTGTAATAGACACAAAAATTAGCTCCGATGCCTGAACAAGGAGGTGTAAACTCAACTGGCGATCGCCATTCCTGACTCCTAAAAACTCGGGCCTCCAGGTTGCTTCCAGGCGATATGTACGATCAAGAACATCGGGCCGATGTCGCACGAATAAATCGTTGGGGCATTTTGCCTATTTGAGGGTATGTCTTATTGTTTGTGTCCAACTAGTAGCTCCGCAAGTCCTTCTCCGAGCTTCTCCGTCCATAACATTACATTAATATTCTCCCAGTCGCCGCGGTGTCGAGTTCTTGATGGCTTCCTAGACTTCCAGAGCGAGCGTTGGGTGCGTACGAGAGGTTGTCACCAGGCCATAATGGCAGCTGGAGCAGCGAAGGTCATCCCCTGGCGATTGTTCTGAGTCGTGGGATACAGCAAAGACGCAACAAAAAGACTCAGGTCGGCCGTTGTGTACGGACGGGCGACAAGTAATGGAGAGGGAAAGACGATGCGGAGTTTGAAACTGATCCCTTTCCGATTCCTATTGGGTCCTACTTGAAAAAAAAATATCCCTCACTCAAAGGAAACAAGATCTAGGAAAATTGCCACAAAAATGCCCTTTACCAGAATTGACTTCGAAGACATTATCGGGAACATCGTCGGTCTCAACATTCCTGCTCTCCACGCTCAGGACGCTTCCTGATTTTTTTTGAAAGGTTTTCTTGGATAAAACGAGATACGATTGCGATCCTCTTCCCAAGTTTGTTGTGGCCTCAGTCTCAGTCCTTTCCACCTCAAGGCCTCGCCCGGACCATAGAACTTTACCAAGCTGGCTCTCGTGTCGCGCAACTTTGTCAACCCTGTTCACCGCAATCTCTACGCCAATCTGAACATCGAAGGAAGGACCCGAGTGATTTCTCCTCCTCACGGGCCAGCTCAGCCTGCTCGGGCACCCACATCGACGGGTACCAAGCGGACACCCCTGGCGATAGAGAACCTCGAACTGTCGGTATCACCGCATTCCAATGGTTCCTCGATGCATGCCCGCCGTTCTCGAAGCTCGGGCTTCACGGCGGAGATTTCCTGTTTGCGCTTTCATCCCAGACATTGCCAAAAGCGTCGCGGCGGGAAGGTTAACGGATATAGGATTGCACGCGTGCAACCACTGCCGCCGTGACTGCATAAAGCTGTTGCCTCGCGGCTGGCTAAGGCACATTAGCTTTGCCTCGCCTAAAAGATTTGGACATCAGCCAGTATGGGATGGATGGCCCTGCGATCCCACCTTCGAGCTGCCGCGCGTCTCATCTTCATGCTCCAGCCTCGACATATCCTGCATGA